GGAATGAGCTTGAAATGAGCTACGAAAACAATCCTCTTAGCAGCTTGTCACAGTACCACATGCATAGATATGCTAGGTTAAGTATTAACCAATACTGATGAAGTTTTGTGAGCAACTCTGTATATACCAGGAGGAGTCTGAGACACTAGTGCTGGGAGGCACTGTGCCTGCTGGATGGGGCAGACACTACAGACAGAAGGTCTTCTAAGGAGGCAACTGGAGACTTCTTTACTGACTGCTTGTTTTGGATACCTGGCGTCTGAAGCACCTCTAGCAGGTCTTTCCTGGATGCTGAGAAAAAATGAAAGGGCTCTTACCCCCCCTCCTTGAACCCATCTCACCCATTCTGAGAAAGGCCTTACCGTGTAATTGGGGTTTCCTGGCTGGATACGTAGCTCAGCCAAAATCCAAATGCCATTAGTGAGCTTCAGGGATTGGTACAGCATGTCCTGCCCTTCCACATTCCTCTTGGCAATAGTATAAACATTGTTGTTTTGCAACTTGCTGGAAACAGCGTCTAGAAACACAGATTCAAAATCCAACACCTTCAGTTGAAATATCAAACAAATGTGCTACGAGCTATGTGTGCTCAAGTCTCCTGAGAAGCACTGTTACAGGCATACACGCCCATCTCAGAAGGCCCTTCTCCCACAAGAGCGAAGGGTAAGGAAGAAGCTCCGAAGTGCCGGCCCATCACATTCCAGGACAGAAAAGAGAGTAAGGTGCAAATAAGCATTAGTGTAAGAATTACCTGTGGAGATTATGGGGGGTCTAAGGAGTTGGTAATCTTAAACTAGGTGCTAGACACGTAAAAATGCACCGACGAGGACAAAGACAGAAACAGGTACATGGGTGTGCCACAGTGCCCGCCACGTCAGATTCATCTCTCCACCGCTCGTCCCAGATTCACGGGGAGACAGAACTGACACTCGAACGCACAGCACTGCCTCGCACGCTGCTACTACGTCACCGTAAGCCATTCTGGCCTCAAGTGCGGGATCAGAAAAGCACCCAGTTGCAGAAACCCTGCAAGTCAAATTTATTACTCTGGATGTTTAAGATTTGTTTTAAAAGCAGGCAAATGATTTCTTAGGTTTTAAATTAAATTATTAATTTGGGGGAATACCACGCCCCAAATTAATAATGAAACAAACTGTCTCAACAAAAGACTCTGAGGAAGACTGAAGCTGTGCAAAGATGATTTTGCTCCAAGGCCCTGTAAGCCCGGCTGCCGTTGCTGGTCAGAGTGGAGGACTTCATAGTCACCAACACAGGGTAAGAACAGCTTGGTGTTTGGGGTCTTCCTTGTGACTACAGCATCAGAGAGACATGGCATTCTAGAATTAAAGGTAATTCTCTCTCCTTGTTCTCTGACTGCTAACATGAGATGTTGCAGCATCACAGAAAGAGAAACTTTAAAAACACAGATGATAAACACTGCTTCTTTGCTGATAGTTTATTATGTTCATTTCTGATGAGAACTCAAATTACTCAGGGACTAAATTCTTTCCACATAAAATCCTGTCATGTTCTATTGTGCTCTCTAGGAAAAGGCTGTTGTGATGCACAGTCTTTCTGTTCTCCAAGACAGTAAGCTCTCTGAGCATAGGGATCCTAGAGTTTTTCATCACTGTATTACCCACAGTATCTGGGACACAATGGATACCTGCCATCAATACCTGTGAATAAGCCTCTGACTCAGGTGTTGGAGACGCTGATATGTACATAATGCCATAGGCATTAAAAAACATCTATTTAAGACATTTCTCCAAAGAAGAAATACAGATTACCGATAGGCAAATGAAAAGATGCTCAACATTTCTAATCATTAGAGAAATGCAAATCAAAACTATAATGAGGTACCACCTCACACCAGTCAGAATGGCCATCATTAAAAAGTTTACAAACAATAAATGCTGGGACTTCCCTGGTTGCGCAGTGGTTAAGAATCCACCTGCCAATGCAGGGGACACAGGTTCGAGCCCTGGTCCAGGAAGATCCCACATGCCGTGGAGCAACTAAGCCCGTGTGCCACCACTACTGAGCCCACGTGCTGCAACGACTAAAGCCCGCGTGCCTGGATCCCGAGCTCCACAATGAGAAGCCACTGCAATGAGAAGCCCGCACACCTCAACGAAGAGTAGCCCCCACTCGCTGCAAGTAGAAAAAGCCCACCAGCAATGAAAATCAAACGCAGCCAAAAAATAAATAATTAAGTAAACAAATTTATTAAAAAAAACAAACAAGTAATAAATGCTGGAGACGGTGTGGAGAAAAGGGAACCCTCCTACACTGTTGGTGGGAATGTAAGTTGGTGCAGCCACTATGAAAAACAGCACGTAGATTCCTCAAAAAACTAAAAACAGAACTGCCATATGATCCAGCAATCCCACTCCCGGGCATATATCCAGAAAAAACTATAATCCAACAAGACACACGCACCCCCACATTCACAGCAGCCGAGACATGGAAACAACCTAAACGTCCATCGACAGATGAAGGGACAAAGAAGATGTGGCACATATATACACAATGGAATACTACTCAGCCATAAAAAACAATGAAATAATGCCATTTGCAGCAACATGAATGGAACTAGAGATTATCATACTAAGTGAAGTCAGAAAGACAAATACCATATGATATCACTTATATGTGCAATCTAAAATATGACACAAATGAACAAACCTATGAAACAGAAACAGACTCACAGACACAGAGAACAGACCTGTGGTTGCCAAGAGGGTGGAGTGGGAGAGGAATGGAGTGGGAAGTTTGGGTTAGCAGATGCAAACTATTATATACAGAATGGATAAACAACAAGGTCCTACTGTACAGTACAGGGAACTATATTTAATATCCTGGGATAAACCATAATGGAAAATAGTATAAAAAGAATGTATATATGTGTATAACTGAATCACTTTGCGGTACAGTAGAAATTAACACAACACTGTAAATCAACTACACTTCAGTAAAAAAAAATCTCTGCTAAGAAAAAAACCCTTTATTTATTTATTTATTGGAAGTATAGTTGATTTACAATATTGTGTTAGTTTCAGGTGTACAGCAAAGTGATTTGGATATATATACATATATATGTATATACATACACACACACTTTTTCAGGTTCTTTTCCATTATAGGTTATTACAAGATACTGAATATGGTTTCCTGTGCTATACGATAAATCCTTTTTGTTTATCTGTTTTATATACAGTAGTATGTATCTGTTAATCCAATACTCCTAATTTATCCCTCCCCCACTTTTCCCCTTTGGTAACGGTAATCTTGTTTTCTGTTTGTGAGTCTAAAAACCACCTATTTAGAAGTGGTCTAATTTTAGAGGTAGTTTTTTTTTTTTTTTAATTTTTATGGGAGTATAGTTGATTTACAATGTTGTGTTAGTTTCTGCTGTACAGCAAATTGAATCAGTTATACATATACATCTATCCACTCTTTTTTAGATTCTTTTCCCATATAGGTCACTACAGAAAACTGAGTAGAGTTCCCTTTGCTATATCGTATTGATAGGTCCCTATTAGTTATCTATTTTATATATAGTAGTGTGTATATGTCAATCCCAATCCCCCTTGGAGGTAGCTCTTGCCCTGATGTCTTTCTTCCACATTCAAACCAGTGAGAACTCAAGCGAGGAGGCACTAAAGCCCATTCATTAAACAACTGCACCACACTTAGTTATGACTTAATTTCCCTCCTTTTATTTCCAAGGTTTTCCCTAACACCAAGCAGAGTAGTTAAAACTCAAGAATTGGTTCTCTTTGAGGAGCTAAAAAGTATATCTCAAGGTTGTTATATGCAAGACTGCTGAAGGAGAGGGCCTCAGTATGCTTTTTAATCACCTTTTGGAGGTTCAGGCAGTTCTGGCTGTCACCTTGGTTCCCACAATGAAGGGCTCTTGCAGCTCAGACTGGGTTGCCAGGCAACATCACCAGCTGGAGTTTGGCTAATGCCTTTTGACAGGACTGTCTTAAATACAAAGCCGGGGGGGGGGGGGGGGGG